TTAGGCATTTTAAAAGCAAAATCAGTTGCTGTTGATGTTTTAGAGAGAAAAAACGCGGTAGAGCAATGGGAACATTTACAATACATCTTCGACAGTGTTGTAGAATTACCTTCATCACAAATAGAACAACTTTAGAAGTAACTAATAATTTATATGGAAACATTGGACGTTTTTCAGTAATAAAGTTAAGCACGATTTAAAAAAATGGAGTTTGATTTAAATCATGATTTTAAGTTAAACAAAGCAAGTGATTTAAATCACTTGCATGAAATCAGCCCAACTCTGCCTATAGGTTAGTTTAGTTCAGTGGTCAGCTGCATTTTTTTGTACATATTTTATATTACGAACTACTAGAAATAAAATTCTGGGAACAGTTTTCGTGCCCTCTTTTCCTCTTACATCATATGGGCGTGGCGTTTGGTGAGATCAGCCTTAAGTCCACTGCTTCAAATGTCTTCTAAATTCAATTACTGCACAGCGGCCCAAACTGCGCCTTTTTAGACTCGGCAATGCGGCAAACGTCTGAAAGGTAGGTCCGTCGTTCTTTAACTTCAAAGTGATAAGGCGGCGACAACGCGGAAGTAATTTGTCGGCCATTGCGTTCGACGGATAATTGGCTGGATAATAATAGTTTCCGGAGACCTGTTGCAGCGACCTTAAGCGTCAACGGAATTTAATTTTTTTGCTCCTTTCCATAGCGAGAGGGAGACCGAGAGACTAATAAGAGGGTATGAAAACTGGAACAGTGCGGTAAACCAGAGGCGTGCTCTGTGATATCACTCGGATTTCGTGCTTAATGGAATATTGCGAGAAAATGAACAAAGCTCACTATCCACTATTCCAAAAAAACCGAATTTTAATATTCAATTGTTAAAGCTTCATAAATCTCTGTTCTGTCTTTAACCCACTACTTGGCGTTACGGTTCGCGATAAGTTCTGAAACAAAGAGGCGCCGTAATTAGAATTGGAAACTGGAAAATACGGGCGGTAAGTAAACCAATGAAGGATCCCAGATTATCTTTAATACCGTATAAGGAGGAAAAGGGGATAGGGGCGAGGAGAAGCCCCCCTCGGGCTACATAATAATATGGTCTTCGTTATCTCGCAGAATGGTATTTTTAATTTCGCCAGGGGGCCTCGTAATAAACTGCCAAAATCTATTAAAGAACTTCGCAAACTTCTTCAAACTTCTCAAAGACCCGTCTCGCCGCTTAAATTGTTCCGTAAGGCTTTTCTTCTTCTTCGGCGAGTGAATAAGAAAGTGGGTTAGAATGGGGGCGCACGGAATCTTGTGCGTTAAAGGACATCGGCAAAATTAAGCTCGTAGGCCGTTTTTGGCTTTGTCTAGTTTTGGTTAGTGTAATAATAATAATAACAATTATTTTCCCTGAGACAACTATGAAATTGTGAAGGAATAGACAAAATACATAAAAATTAAAAAAGCATTTACTCAAAAAAAATTAGTCTAGACTATAAAATGTTTTCGATAACAAAAATGTTTATAATCGCTATTTAAACTTTAAAGTTTTGTCTCTTTACTGCAATGACAAATTGTTAAACATACGAACACCTAAATAATCAGGTGACCTCGAAGCCATCGACCTTACCGCTCTGTCTTGTATGCTTAGAATGTTCGTCACCAACTAACTTAATATTCGAGAAATTGTTAAGCAATAGACTCGCCAGGGTGAGAATTTTGTACTGGCCAAATAAGCCCCTACAAGGTGTAAACTTGGAAATATGCGCAATACGCCTTAATATACGTTTTTGCTTGATCGGCAAAAATTGATATTATAACGTAATCGGGACTCCACCTTCGCATAGTATAAATAAATGAACTGTTAACTGTTGCCTAGTTAAAATCCCACGAAGATTTATAAAAAGATAATTTACACTATTTACAGTTGAAATAAAAGTATCACAATGAGATTTCCTAGAAACCTCACAGTATCCCTACTTCCGATAGTGTCATTAAAGTTATCACATTGTTTTTCAAAATTATCAAACCTTATTATTTGAATTTTACTTGCATTGAAATATTGATCACTTTTTCCAAACCATATCATCAATAGATCGAGTACCCCACAGCACTTCTCTGGGAGGTCATCGTCATATCCACATCACAAAAAACGTATCAGGTAAAATAATCAAGATACAATTTACATATAATATGAAGAGTACGGGGGCTAAAACTGAACCATGAGGAACACCATTCTCCATGCGTTGACTAGCTGAATTTACACTTTCCATTCTCTGACCTTTATAAAACTTAAGGGATACAAATTGAGAACGATCTTCTAAAAAACTACTGATCCAGTCTAGGTGTTTACCCCTTATACCTAAAGTATGCAGAGCTTTCACAAGTTCCTTAAAATTAAAACATTGAAACGCTCGACTTAGGGCACACATCGTCCTCCATCAAAGAAATTATCCCACGAAAATAGGAACAACCAGCAGTTGAAGTGCTTTTATCTTTTCTGAAGCCATATTGGTTATTTATAAAAATATAATATTCATCTACAAAATACATTAATCGCTCTGAGATAGCATACCCAAGCATTTTAGAAGAACTATTTAAAATTGTTACACGACGATAGTTCTCCGCTAAGTTCTTAGACACAATGCCACTTGGAAAAGATAGACTTACCAAGAAGGTTAGCGGATCTATTATCAAACTCAATACTCTTTTTAATAAAAACGTTGGTATGCCATCGGGTCCAAAACACTTATTTTTTTAATTCATGCTCATCCTCCATTAAAGGTAATATATAAAAACCAGACCAATACTTTTGTTATCCAACTGAAAGGAACTGACAATATTTCTGGCAGCATCTATAAAAAATTAGGCTCATTCTCGATTTTATTACTCTGTTTACTCGTTAAATTAAAGTTCTCAACACTGGACCGACAATAATTCGACATCTCCGAAATCTCCCTCCAAGCGGCACTATAAGTATCAACAGAATCCGAAATTTCTCGCTGATAATTTCAGAAACTAATTGTTTATGTTTCTTAAGGACCTCTATATATACCCTTTTCAATAGTGGATTGCACTGTTTCAGAACGAACAGATTTTGAATTAGCACTAGACGCCTTAATTTCATTAAATCTCCATTTTATATTTTTGGATGGCTCACTAACGTACAACCTTTTTTTATGGAAAATGTAAACTAAAATAATACCAAAAAGAATATAGTAAAAACTATTGAAAGCACTGTCCAGGTCCGTCCCGGAATAAACATGAAACCCATGCTCCAAACGAAGAGATATCTCAAATACCTGGAGTCTTTGGTAGGTAGAAGAATTGATTACATGCAAGAATTTTAATTTTGTCGAATAAAATTTTATGTCCAGTTTCGTGAATGGTTCGGCAACAAGTGATGAGTTTGTCTTAGTCGTAAAGCTCTTTCGTGTTCTTTGAGCATTGTTGATATTTTTCTTCCTGTCTCTCTTGCTGCATATGCATGGAATTCTGTAAACTCCTGGCATCTCAAATGGAATTTTGTCTTTGACGGACCAAAGATGTTTGGACAAAGATTTTTGGACAAGTGGTAAATCTGGTTTTGAAGTTATACTTCTTTAGAACTTTTGATATGTGGTCAGTGATATTTTGCATGTAAGGAAGGACCGCAGTAGCAAGTGTAGGATTGCTTTCGCCCTCAGGTTGTGGTGAAGTGGAACGCGTAATATTAATATTAATGTGGAAATTATTAGAGAGAGTAGAGAAGAGCAGTTGGTTCAGTGACTCGGGCTACCTATAAATAACCTATCTATAAACAACCTAACAATCTTAACCGCGACTCATGTCTTTACGTGTCACCAATGTGGGAATCAGTCATCCGAGACGATGTTTGGCTCATTTGGCTCCGCCCCCTCAAACTATATATAAACAGGTACAGAGTAAAATGCGAGCCAGTTTCAGTCAACCTCTGAAGAAATCAACAGGCTGATTGGCGGAACGTCATCAAGTTCGACTCAGCAAAAACCGAAGCAGGAGGTATCCAGAAGTTTTGTAGCACACTAACTTTGTTTATTTGGTTCTGTTTTGTTTGAATTGCAGAAGCCCGGCCTTCATTATTTTGCGGTTTTTTACACTCATTTTTATTGGCAATATTATCACTTTTTTATCGACTGATATTAAAAAGTTTTATCTTTTTATTCAATAACAATACTTTTTCATTTAACTCATGAATGATTACGCATTTTTGTTGCGCGACATATTTAAAAAATCTGTGTAACAGCGTAAAAAAATTCATCTTCAATATTTCCAAAGTTTCCACAACAATTTGCAGTTGTTTAGTTTAATATTTTTGCATTCCACAACTTCACACAACTTTAGTGGAAGCTAGAATCACGCACTGAATACTTTAAAGGCTTAACTGGGCAATCCTCACACTTATTACCCGCGGAGCCATCGGAATCCTGACACACCGCCATCTTGCCTAGACTTTTTCAATGCGACCGAGCACGCAATATACCCGCCTCTGCAAGCTTTGCACTTTAAACATAAGGGTTTTGAATGTGCTCTTCGATGCATAATTATCACAGCTTGTCAGATCTACTTTGTCATAGATGCGTTCTGATGTATCACTGAGATTGTATTAATGTCTTAAGATGCGTCGTATATTCGATATAACCCCATCTTCTGTACGGCTGAACGTTGTATATTACCTACAGCTTGAAATGCGAGATTCTAATTCCAATTCCAGGAAAGGAATTCATCTACCGTGGATCGCAATTTATGCATCCCGTGTGTGTACACTTTTATTTCCGCTTCGGCCCTTTGAAGCTCGCGGGAGAATTTAAACAATTTACGGCAAAGAGGTTTACTTAAGGGCCCCTCGGGGAGAGGAAAAGGCTCTTTCCAGTCGGATTTAAGGCCTCGACGCCTCGGGCTCCGTCAAATTGAAAACCCGACAAGGTTCGAATCGCGACGAACGAAGTCTCGAAATTAGCCGCCGTAGAGCGTCTTGCTGGCAAAATGTTCACGCTTTAATTACCTGATTCCTGAGCCCAGTCGATCAGGGATGGCACCCTCGAAGAAAAACTCGAAAAGCAATTCTCGAAACGCCCCCTCGCGTCCAATCCGACAGTCTCGAAGTTGGTTTTGACGCCGCACATCAGCGCCGTCGCGCAAGCTGACGATTCTCCAATCTGCGCGTCCATGTTGTACGTCTGGAAGCAATAGCCATGTGAAAGTTAAACATAATGTTCTACTAATGTCTTCAGTATGTGCTGCAGATTCAAAAACATTCTTTTTTTTTTTTGATAATGACGCTGTAAACTAAAAATATTTTTTTTAATGAATATGTTATTTTGTTTTTTTTTTAAATATCCAAAAAGCATTTTGAGGTATCTTTCTCGTATCTGTTAATTAAAGAGATATTCTAGTTTTGTTCGAAGAGAGAGAGATAGAAAGAGAGAAGGAGAGAGAGCTGTGATATCCAAGATGTAAATAAAATAAACAAGGAATAGACGAATACAGTGGAATAAACAGGTTGTTTACTATATGGGATAAATTCAGGGTAGCAAAGATATATAAGAATGAAAGTCCCGTAGGAAGAAGACCACCGAAGAGATGGACAGCTAGCTAATTCTCGTTGTCACCTGAACAGTAAGAGGCTAGACAAACAGGAAACCTTTACTAATAAATTACGGAAGAAGTTATAAGACTAAATGATGTCATGGTGATAACAGTAAACAATATCGCTGTTTCTTAAAATTAAAATTAAACAAAAAGTTGAAGACGAATGGTGAAATTGGATCTTTTATAACAGTGTTGAGAATAAGACGAATCCATAATATTGGGTCACCTTGTACCTCCTAGTTCAAAAAACGAACCCTAAAAGAACTGGTAATCAGATCTCGTAGACGCAATCAATCTACGCGGTCGGATATTAAAAAAAAAAAACGTTCAATTCGCTAATGGCGGCCAAAAAGTCTCGCATCCCCCGGGACGCGCATTACCTATTCAAAACTGAAAATCAAACAAGATGCGTCGAATGAGGCCATGAAAAGTTTGCGGACGTTCTGGCGCTATCAAATTCATCGCTTTATGCGGAACGTGCATACGTGATAGAAATAAAAACACGGGAATTAGCATAGGATCGGGGAGACCGGGAGACGAGAGAAAAACATTAAATTTTCTTTCAATGCGGAAGCGAGGGGTACGGGGCTGTAAACGTTTTTTAAACGCGATAAAAACGTTTCCCGGAGGGCAGTCTCGCTTTGATGAAGGGAGCTTCGTTTATATACCGTATTTACCGATCGTGAGCTTGTGGATTACCGACTACGGTCAACCCGTATGCAAATATGAATCGTGATGGAATCAAAGTACCCTCGGGGGTGGATAAAAAAGGATCTCCGATTATTTAGTGGTCTTTATTGAACTTATCCGACGAATTTAATTAAACCCAAATTTGTAGATCTACGAAAATCGACTTCGCCGCATTTTTCGACATGGCGGTAGCATATAAATTGATTAAAACATGAGTGAGATTCGAAATTAAAATTATGGTATCCGATGATTACGAATGATTTCATTTTTAATATTTCATTTGCAACGTGTCTCCAAAGAACAGTTTATAAAACTTGAAGTTTAATCAAATAACATAAACTTCTGCGAAACTACTTTAAATAGGAAAACAAATAAAATTTTATATATCAAAGGACTGTTATCATGAGAAAAATATATTAACTCAGTATGTCCAAAGCTTGGAACGGTGGGATCATCATAGAGGAGTAGTCAAAGAATTAAAATAGCATATCATTCAAACTTTGAATCAGTAACAAGCTATGTTATATATTACTGTTAGACTACGTATGAAAACATCGTACACATTGAATGTTTATGAATGTTCAATCTTTGCCCATAAAAATTCAGAGTAATTTCAAGAGCTAAATAACCCCATGTATAATGCAAGAATTTCATGGGCATTAAGTAATATAATAAGTGCTTGGAAAGGGACTATCAAGAGGATACTAATTGAAATTGAAACATACGCAGTGATTGAGTTTTTCAAATAAGATTCATAATCCAATAAAACAGTAATTTAATGGGACCTAGATTTATTTTACCAATTGCTTATTTTTGTGATTTGTTTCGGAAGCATTGATGAAGCGTAACCCAGATGATTGGAGATAAGTAGCCCTGTTCCCACCACTCCAATTTTCTTGAAATGTAGATTGTATTAAAATAAATACAGGTACATTTTTTCTGTCAATCTACTGGATAATATAACGGAACAGAGCTATTTCAACCCATACATTAAATAATATTTGAACTTTACGAGGAAGAATCAAGAAGATTTAAAAATAGTATTACAGAAGCATGTGGAAGTTTTTTTTTAAATTAACAATAATTAAAGAATGAAAAAAATATCTGTAGCAGAATTACTCTGAAGAATGTGAGACAAATTTTAGCAGAACCAGTGGCGTACGGTAAAAATTTGGACTCGAACGTTTGAACGAAAGCTGCCAATGTAAATGTAATGAACGTTAAGATCGTGTATTTAAACCAGTGGTCGTTCGCAGACCTGTCAACAAGTTGTCCGTGACGTGTGGAATTATATCCCCGAAATTTCAGTCAGCGTTTGGCGCGTTTCGAGCCCCCTCGATATTTAAATCGTAAATTTTCCTGCCAAATTACATTTCCACCCGCGATAAAACTCATGTCGAGCGTAACACAAATGATTTATAAAACATCATACGTTATTCATTAACGGGAAATATCGATAAACTCTTTTGATAAATTTCATTTCGCATTAATTTTAATTAACGATAAATAAATTAAATATTTTGTTTGAATTTCCTCGCCGCCGGCCCCTCCGCGCCGCGAAGGGGAGGGAAGGAAGACTATATTCGCATTTGGTTGCCGGACAGTCCGATTTTGCGCCAATTAACTCACCGCCTACCAAATGGGAGTTAAAAGGGATTCGGGAGCTGCATTAGTTATGGAACAATTTGGCCGAGAGCGGACATGTTTGAATAAAACAATAACGGCGCCGCAGACTTAGAAAGTTACGACTGGTCTATTTGTCTTTAGGATTAACAAGAAAACTTCTCAGTGTTGCAAGCTTATTGTTTGTTTATCCTCTGATGGAAACTCTACCGGTATGTTATAGCAAGATTATAAATATGATAAAAATAAATAAAATATAAATTAAACAACATTGGCATAAGCAAATTTTGGGTAAAATGATCCCAAAATTATTAGAACAGGCATGTGATCGCTATTTCACAACACTGGAGGTTATGATTTTCATTTATTAGCTGCAAAATATCATAAGTAGAGTAAATGCATAACTTGTGCACCCTCCGCTCTCTCCGTAATTATTTTTTAGAATGAAAAAAAGTTCTACTGCTTTGGTTAACAATCACGTTAATTTAGTAAATAAAGCAAGGAAAGGAGTGAAGACATTTCATTTAAAGCAACCTTCATCAAGACTGTAAAGAGTTTTTTATCGGGTTGATGGTACTTTAACCTTATCGATTCAATTTAAATTATTTATACAGCATTCTCTCTAATACGTACAGTCCTAAATAAAGTCTTTAATAATAGGTAAAATTTACTAATTATATTGAATATTGAAATAAATAATAATAAAACTATAAATAATTCATATAAGATTAGATGACCGAGTCGACCGGGAATTGAGATGCGCATAAATTTCAATAAATATTCCGTAATACAGTTAGGCGACAAAATCATGTAAACGTATAACAGAGTTACATATATGCATACATAACTCGATACATACATTTACGATTCCTTTATGGGAAAGATTGTCCGGAATTTTATTTCGGAGGATGTAACAGTGTATACGTCGATATCGAATCTAATTCTCCGCGAACGCGTAAACGCCTTAGTGCTTGAATCTCAGGCTCCCGCTGAAAATTTAAAATGGATTTGCATCCTTTGTCAAGTTGGAAAAAGTCGTCGACGATGTACTTTGTCGACTTCGAATGCGTTTACTGCAAGATCACTTGGATTTGCCGAGGCACAACCAAAGTTTCTGAATCCGAAAAGTCCATATTTTAATAAATGGTCGATATACAGGGTGTTCGGAAACTATGAGGAACAAAAAAATCGAAATCGGAGTTATACCTTGTCCAAAATATTATTTTTTTAATTTCATTTTTAATGCAGTGGGATTAATTTTCAAGAGAATGAGCTGGTTTTATACACACAGCCCTGACTGAGTAAATTATCATCGTTACGAAATAAAACTATTTCAGAAATCTGTCACTAGACGGCACTTTACCTAGAATATTCACAACCCACATGCAAAAATTGAAGGAAAACATCGGCGCCGATTTTTTTGAAATTTATGAACAGGGATTCTGGGAAATAACCTTATGGAAACTCATTTCTTTAACTGATCGCTTAATGGGGAAATGTATTTGCAATTTTTCTAAGAGGAACTACCACTTTTGCTGGAAGAGGTACCCTTGCAGTGGAGACAAAACATGTGGTTAATGCAAGATGGCACTCGACCCCATTTTACATTGGCTGTACGAAGGTATTTAAATCAGGCATTTGAACAGCTATTGATAGGTCGGGGTGGACCTCTAGCTTGGCCACCTTGCTCACCAGACCTCTACCCGATGGACTCGTTTTTTTGGGGGCACTTAAAGTCGTTATGACTTTTACTTACTTACTTACTTATTCCGTTGTTAATCAAACCCACTGCGTTAAAAATAGAATTAAAAAAAAAATTGGCAAGCTATAACACGGAAAATATTACTATTTCGAATTTTTGTTGCGTGACTTACTACCAGTATTTTTACAAGTTGAATCTTTCCACCAAGTTTCCGAACTCAATTTTCGAACATCCTGAAAACCATTTTGTTGTTCATTTCATTATTTAAAACCAGAGACGAAAAAAATATATAGAACCCCAAAGATTTCAGGCTAGAAAGAAAGCTGCTGTATGCATTATTGTTACCACAAATGTATTTGCCTGAAAAAAGAGTCGCCTAAGAAAAAAATATAATCTTGTTTATGTTGCTTATCGTTCAGTGATAACAACATTTTGAAGAAGCAGTAAAACAAACAGACTCGAAAATGGAAATATGTTCCGTCGGTTTTGAACCATATCGCTAATGCGCTCTTGAACCAAAACCGTTTCGCCAGTCAAAAATTGCAGAATCGGAATGCAGAAATACAAATTAATACGCCAGTGTTTGTGTTTTATTAAAACCGAATTGCTGCTCCGCAAAACAAACAAACGCGCATGGCCACTAACTCCTGACGCTGATGTTGAATTTCCTAGCAACATGAGAACATCACCGAGTAAACAAAGCGTAACCGATGATAATTAATATAAAATATTTATTTAAGTTTAGAGCAATGCATGGCGGGCTCGACGAAACTGCATCTGAAGTGATATCGAGTTTCGCACAGTGACTATCCGAAAGTAAAACAAATTTTCGAGGAAGACTGTAATATTATTTGCTCAGACAAACAGCGAAATGAACGTTGTGCCTGTGTGTTTTCCTCTTTCGATGAAGTTGGACGACTTTGCAAACCGTTAAAAGAATAAGCTTTAATAAAGTTACGTAATTCTTCGGAAACGCAATATCACACAGAGACGGAGACTTATAGAGTTTATTAAATCATCTTAGGTGTGCTTCACGAACTTTGAAAGTTAGCTGCCAGTTTGGAATAATACATTATCAGAAGCTTATTTGAAACATTGAGTATATTACAAGCTGGTAAACTACGAAACAAACAGTCTAGTAATTGTTTGTATTCGATCCATATGAATTTTATATATTTGCCTATTTTGGTATTTACCTTTTTCGTCGCACGCTCTAGTAAAAATGGCGAAACGAACGGCAGCACTAAATTTCCTGCTTTTCTAAAACTGCCATTACCGGATAAAGCTTTTTCGCGAGCGGAATATAAATTTTAATTTTGCTCGCCTTTTTGAGACACTTAGGGATGCGATAAACCAGAGTCCCGTTCCAATGCGACTCCATAAAATGACACCTCTATCCTGTTTAGAGTTTTTCCGTCGGCGTGGTTAGTAAATAATTTAGTGAGCATCGTATCGCGATTCTTTTCATTTTCTCTCGCAGTTTCAAAAAGAATTTTTCATGACCGATGAGCCAATCGTCACCTTTCTGTTCCACAACTTCCCCGGCTACGACTTGCATTTTTTAACGAACAGTGTAGATGCTGGTTTATACGAATTTGTTTTAGCAATTCATTAAGATGAAGCGAAGAATTTAAACAATGCGTAGGAAGTTAATTGTTACATTTATTTGGCATTGTAAAAAGGTTGGAGAACAAGTAGTTTGGATGGAATATTAAAAAAAGACATTAAATTGGAATGGGAGTCTCCAAGAATGAAGAAAAAACTGCGACAACAGGTTTTCTTGAAACGTCGCTTCTGGTGACTTCTGCGTAGTTTATAGAGAGGTTAATGGAAACTCTGTAAAACACCCACTTTTATTTTCATTGGAAATTTGTACTTAAGAAAAAGCAACTCAAAAGTAACGCGGATATGCCTCCATATCCTCGTTCTGAGTATGCCAGAATTCGGGACAGCGTTCTAAGACTTCGTTAAACCTCCAGGTAATGGAGTCTTCGCGGTAAACAACCCAAGCTTAATTAAATTTTCTAAATTATAATTTATCCGAAATATTTCGAATACCTTAGCCAGCGCTACCGTTGGGAAAGAGTCCCAAACGAGCTCGTGGTCTTCGCCCGTTTTACCCATCCTCTGGCCCCGTAGAATTCGGGCGGCCGTGGTCGTCGCCACCCCCATACCGTCCCCTACGAAGAGTATAACATTCTTCGCGTGGGGGCGTCTGTCAGAGGCGTATTGCAGACGTTTCCTGAGCGCTATCCTCGCCTGTTCGTACCAATACTCCTGATCTGTAAGGAACGAAAAGAATACTTTGTAAATATAATAAAGAAAGTTATAGTGTACACACATTTGAGATATTAGGTATATTCTATCATACAGTGTCTCCCACTTAAGAACTATACACCATGATTTATGGTTCGATTGATAAGTTTTGGTTAGGTCCCTTAAACCTTGTTTTTATTCAGCTTAAAGTTATATCCAACAAAACAACAAAAGAGGGCGAAGAGAGAAGTACTATTAGGAATTAAAAAAGAAATAAATTGGCAGCGAATTCTTATTCAGGAGTACTTAGAGCCCAACTATGCCACTTTTTGTAATGTTTCAATACAGGGTATTTGAAATATCGTTGTACATGAAATCATTGATTCAATTTTTTTTTGTTTGATGGATCTCTCAAAAACGTCGTAAAACCTCATGTTACTATTACATCAACCTGAAGTCATGGCTAACAAAGATTAATTTTTGATGTCACATAAAAAGAAAGGCCATTGGCGTTGTAAAGTCTGTTTAGTTCATATCCATTTCTCTTTAATCATATTTAATTTTAAGAAAATTGTTAGTTTCTTTCAGTGAATCTATTCAACAAAATAGAATTATCAAAACTGAGCCATAAAAAAACTTCTAGAGGAGTAATGCTTTGAACTTCACGGAAATTCGTATTGGGTTGGGTTTTATGCAGTCCTGAATAAGAATTCGTTGACGATATTTCAAATACCCTGTATTGAAACATTGAAAACATCAAAATTGATCCACAAACAAAGATTTCACATGGGTAGGTATACGAAAATAAATGTATCGATTTATCGAATTTCCACATATGGAAATTGTACAAAATTCTTTCGTAACCTTCATCTTTACATGCATTTTGAAATTTAAATGGTACCTAGCCTCGATTCTGTCAGAGTTTGTAGCTTTTTAAGAAGACTAAAATGGGGACAACGTGTATTATTTAATTTTGAAGCAACTGATTCCTAATCACAGTTCCTCTTTTGTATACGAAAAGAGTGAGAAGAGGAAGAAACAACGTGCCAATTTGTCTACGTCAACGACAAATTGCTACCATTCGATCGGATATAGTTTTCATGCATTCCTCTGTCAACCCTGCCAAAAAAAAGTGTATTATTGGAAACTCGGGGCATCAGTCATTGGAATATAAATTGGATTTTTTTTTTCATATGCGGCGCTGTGAATTTTTCATGGAAACAATTTATGGAAACAACATAAATAAACGAATATATTGACTGCCGGGATTTACGCATTAAAAATTGCGTATTAAGCCGAAATCGCTTTGTTTTATATTCGCGCGAGATTTTCCAACGTTACGGTTCATTTTATTTATTAATTTTTTTAAATTTTTGATGCTGCCGAAACATTCCTTTTTTGTAACAAAAGTAACGGATGTATTGACCATTAAAATATTAAATGTGTTCGACGCAGAAGGGAAATTGCAGCAACGCGTCATAAGACTTACGGTAAATACGAATTTTATTTTGCTTCTAACGAAAATTCTACTAATTTTGCAGTTCTGTAAAACTAATTTTTGAACAACTTTCTTAAATTTAAATTAAAATTGAAATCCGTAATGATTAAAAAAAAAAGCTGTTTGCTATATATTTTTTCTACTCCCTTCTGTAAAATACCTCATTAAGTGTTCGAAGTGTTTTCGGAGCGCGAGCATTGAAGATGCCAAGTGAGATTTTGGCGAAACGTCTGCAGGATTCCAGTCGGATGCAAGATTTGCAGGATTCCAGTCGGAGTTCAACGAGCGAACGGATGATATCCCGGAATATAGTGTCATCATATATATATATATATATATATATATATATATATATATATATATATATATATATATATATATATATATATATATATATATATATATATATATATATATATATAGTTCAAATACACCCCGAATACAAACGCGATATTTAATAACCGATAATTGATTTGTAAAATGCCCTCCCGCCCTCCTGCCAGTAAAATTCATTTATAATTTACGTTTTCCTCCGTTAAACAAACGCTCATATTTATCTGATAAATCCGGTTAATTTCAATTCGCAACGCAATACCGTCAAATCGATGCGATTTCGTTAGGGGCACCAGATATAAATGACAAATCGGACAACCATGTGGCTGATCATCGGTTTTCGGTTATGGCAGATAAACTGAACGTCAGTCCAATTTAAAACTATCTATTGTTTATATATATAAAAAAATAATATATATATATATATATATATATATATATATATATATATATATATATATATATATATATATATATATATATATATATATATATATATATATATATATATATATATATATATATATAGTTCAAATACACCCCGAATACAAACGCGATATTTAATAACCGATAATTGATTTGTAAAATGCCCTCCCGCCCTCCTGCCAGTAAAATTCATTTATAATTTACGTTTTCCTCCGTTAAACAAACGCTCATATTTATCTGATAAATCCGGTTAATTTCAATTCGCAACGCAATACCGTCAAATCGATGCGATTTCGTTAGGGGCACCAGATATAAATGACAAATCGGACAACCATGTGGCTGATCATCGGTTTTCGGTTATGGCAGATAAACTGAACGTCAGTCCATTTTTAAAACTATCTATTGTTTATATATATAAAAAAATACGACCCTCCAGCAAAAAAATATCAGATGTGGACGACTGCGCCAGTTAGCCAAGCGAGTGAGCTTTTCACAGTTCTGTCGCTCATCTCTCGTGTCCTCTTTTCCGAGCCTCCATATCTATCCAATCTTGTGCTCCCATTATTCTTCCTTCTACATCTTTCGGAGCTTATGGCCAATTTAAAACCTTTATGCCCATTCGTTGTACATTTATTTCTCAACGAACCAACCTCTACTGGCATCAATAGACAAATGCGAAAATAGGAAATGATATGAACGAAAGCCTCTCAATTAAAAGAGAGGTAAACTTAACATCAAAACATAAAAGACCAAACTTATGGCTACAACTTAATAACCGAATATATCTGCAGAACTGTGGATCGGCCAAAGTAAACGTGAAAGAGTCAATAGAATTAAATATCTGGGACAATTATTAAGCGAGGACTGGAGTGTTCACTGGAAATAAAATCCAGAATTGAACAAGCAAGTTCACGGTTCATACGTATGATGATCGTGGCGTGTGGACATGAACTGAAAATTGAACTCAGAATGAGAATGCTCCGATGTCTGTGTGTTCTGAATCTTGTTGTATGAAGTATAATCTCGACTTCTGGACTCTCACAGAAGAAAAAAGCTGGAAGCTTTTGAAATGTGGATTTACTCTCATATTTTGGCCACCGGCCCTGGATCTTCCACGTTTCCTGGTCCAACAATTTTTTAAAAATAGTAAATTGTTTTCGAGAAAAGTTTTTTGTGAAGCCATGCAGTGCGGCGTAATAATCAATGACGTCATCGCGTCTTGACAGCCCCCGAAATAGCGATTTCAATATGGATTTTTTCAAATATCCCGAGCAGTGATAGTCGAAAACCGTAAGTGCAAAAACTGTAGCTCTTGATGCGGCATATGACACTGTTTGAACCTATTAGCCATTTTTTTTTTTCGACGGTGATCATTTCTATACCAATAGTGGTGCCCTAGGACCTACCGTTACCGAGATATAAAATTTTTATACGAGCGTAGATTCTTTCGAACAATTCGATTTCAGCGATTTTCGAATGTAACAAAAATATCATGGCTGAAAAACCTACGACAGTGGTTCCGATAATCAACTAATACGCTGTTTAGGACAGCGGTAAATAAAGTATTGATAACCAAGATGATTGCTAACATTCGGTAAAAAACGGATAAGGCACATCAAACAGGAGATGTTATTCTTTGCATCCGCGTTGTTTCGCAACTTCAACAGAGAAACTCTATCTTCGTGTCTTCTAATCTGTCAAGTTACATAACATTCCTATATATTGATGACTGCTTTGCTTGATTAGTGTAATAGATGGGGGGGAAAACTTGATCAAACAAAGAGCATTAACCATCTGTCATTATTTTGACATAGTTTGTTATTTTTAGTATTTGGTTTCATCATTTCATAAGGAATTACTTATCTAGCTAAGGCATGAGACATTTTCAATATTCGCGTAAGTATGTAACTGTCAACGTCTCAGAGAAAGGAATCTAGGATCCAGAATTCCAGAGGGAGGTCCGTGGCTGAATGCCCTCCAAACTAACTAATATATTTTACCAGAAAATATGTGAACTGATCTGCTGAACACTGGGAACGATTTATTGAGGGCTCTGTGATTAAATTCCGTATTTCCTTTAGCAAGCGAGGTAAAGACGTGAATAAAAAACAAAATGATGATGTTTTAACAGGAATTCCCACAGATTCTGAGTACAAAACCAGTTTTTTTTAAGCTATTTGTGCATTCCTAAACATTAAATCTAAATGAACATATTTGAATGGATGATTGCACAAATGTTGCATTAATTTTGATGTTATGTGTAATTTGGTTATATGAAGTAGTAATATTTACGCAGTATCCAAGTGGCGCAATCGGTAGGACAGAACCAGTTTCGGGAGAGCATTATAAAAATGAAAATATGGCTTTTTAAAACAATCCGCCGCTTTTTAAAAAGATTACGAAGATATCAGTTTCAATTATAAAACAGCCCGGTTTAAGCAAACGTAATTCCATTTATTGTTCATAAACGTACGCGAATGGCGCTAAAGAGTTCCCCTATTATCCTTAATGACTTTATATAGTCGCTTTTAGTTGACTATTATGCGCGGTCGAGATAATATTCATACGGTATATCTGGTTGAAAATAATAAAGCTGCAGAAAATTGTTTAATCGATACCCTACCCTCTAGCATGGACTGTGCCTCTGGGCGGTGCGTTATACTAAGGAGCAGTAAGATCTCAAATATATGGCCGGCGTAAGAGGAAAAATAAAATCCGTAATATACGACTCACGGACCATAAATTCAACACACGAGCTCTAATAAAATT